TCAAAATATACTCTTTCAATAGTTATATTCTCATAACTACTCTTTGATTAAACAGTTTTCACGTCATATAGAAAGACATTCTCCTAGACAAAAATAGTGATTATAATACCACATTCGAAAAAAAAAATGTTCATAAACTGTGCTCAGCGGCGCCCTCAAATATTTAATATAACGGGTATAAAGATTGAATCATTTTAATGACATATGTCATCTGGGTACTTGAATAGTGACTCTTCTCCAGAGAAAATTGCACAGCAATGCTTAATTCTGAAACTGCAAAACTTGCTAACTATCATTATCCAAAAATAAAGACAATTTCAATTACTCTCTTAAAGTTATAGTTTCATGACTTGAACGAACAAAATTACGTTATCAATGTAAAATCTCTGTTTGTTTACAGTATTAAATAATTTATATTTACGTGCTCCATAGTACTAGAGAATTTTCTTTTTTCTATATTATAATTTATATAGCTCATAGACTTAAAGACTTCGTCCTTTGTTTCTTTTCAGCATCATAAAATTATGAGGGTTATTTGTTGTTGTGTAAGAATTGTTGTACATTGATAAATTTTTCCCCTTATGTTTGCGTAATACATTATCCTATATATATTGACTGATGCAAATCTTTATATCCTTCGTTTTAGATTTTGCTAATTAACAAAAATGCTTTTTTGCCAATAAAAGTTTTATTACCTTTTCATCTTAGTAGCTAAATGCTATATCTGAATCTCGATCAAGAAGGTTTTTTGACTTGATTTAAATCTTGTTTTTGGGTATTTTAGGTTCTGTGGACTGTAAAAAAATTGCCCTCAAACTTTATAAAAGGAACCTGTCTCCATCAGTTTTAATAATATTTAAAATATATGAAATGCCAACCAAATGATCGATTTAGTTTAAATTCCTGTTCAGGGATGGTAGTGGTCTTATAATATTATGTTTACCCGTCAACGCTCCCTAGGACCACCGGCTTAAAAAGGGAAATTTAACATTGAAACATAAATATGAATTAAGCCTAACCCCGCTAATGCATTTCAAAATAATCCCTTCGACAAATACAATATACATGTATATCAAAAATACTTGATGAATTCTGTACAAAAAAATTTAACCTCAACATACATAAACAATACTTTATTGAAATGAATATTTACATAAGTATATTTACAACATTGGTTGAAAGAAAATATCAAATTTAGTAAACTGTAAGTGAAGTTTTCTTTTTCATTCCTTTCACTCCAAGAAAAACCATTAGGCTTAATACAAATAAACACTTTCTAGTTAACAAATAAATATAAATACATGTATCATTAAATCAAATGTATATGACAAAAGAAACAAAATATTTACGAATTTGAAAGACAATGTTATTAGAGTATCAGAATTTCTTAGAAAAACATTCCTGTGCCAATACTCGGTCCCACATTTCGTCGTATTCTTGTTTAGAGATCCACATTTGACTGAAATTAGTTAGAGAAGCGAGAATAGGAACCACCCTATCCACACCAGAATACTTCCGTTCTGGTGGCGCAATGACCTTGACCTTCATAGAGCTGGGAACCAAATTGTCTAATTCACATTTTCATTCTATCTGGCAAGGCCGGGGAAACATTGTTGACCCTCCTGAAAGAAAACGACATTTGAATAAAAGATCTTTTCTTATGTCTATAATCAGATTTCATAACACTTTTGTTAAAGTAGTTCGTGTATTCCTGCACTCTCCATTCCAATAAAAGATGGTTGGGAAAAGTGATTCAACACAGCGGAAACGTTCGTTGCCAATAGTAATTACTTGTCCATCCGGAAGTTCGTAGCTTTTCTCTATCTGAGAAGAACTTGCTGCGACATTTTCATTTCCTGTTCAAAGTCTAAAGCGGCAAAAACACAATTTTTCTTTGATATCGCGAACTATTTCCATTTCGGAGGAAGATGCGTGAAACTGTATCCGCGTTCATTTAAAAATTCTTGACAAGTATTTTGTAAGGTCACGACCTGCAAGATTTACACGTTCAACGGCATGTGGTAAAGCATAACCTTCGTAAATCGGTACCACGTGAGATACCCCATCACCGATGTCTAACAGCCCCACAAACCTGTTGTCCTCCCGCTGGCGTTATAAATGATAGAACTGCTTGTATTGACACGTAGAAAGAAGGTATGTTGAAGGTTTCGAACATAATTTCTGTCATTCTCTCTCTATTAGCTTTCGGGTTTAATGGCGCTTCTGTGAGTAGTACCGGATGTTCTTCAGGAGCCACACGAAGTTCATTATAGAATGTGTGGTGCCAAATTTTCTCCATATCGTCCCAGTTAGTGACAATACCGTGTTCAATAGGGTATTTTATAGACAAAAAACACCCCTATCGTTCTGGGCTTCCTCGCCAATGTACGTATCCTTACCGCCCATCCCCGCCATCCAAATATCATACTTCGGGTGACCTGTAATTGCAGGAAACACGGCTCTAGGTGCGTCGTCACCTGCAAAGCCGGCCTTACACATTCCGGAGCCATTGTCAATCACAATGCCGGCAATATCATCGTCGTAGCCAAAAGTCATTGTTTATTCTGAAAATTAAATGAAAATACATGTAAATATAAATGCGGGTAATAGTCTGTTAATACAAAATATTTTAAACATCGGTTAAAATAATAAAAATACCGGAATTGAGACGATACATTGGGTACTTAATATATTTCTAGCTTAATTATATCTAAAGAATACATAAAGAAAAAAAATTATGCTCTGCTTTAAAAAAGCAAAGAAATGAAAGCTATTTATGACAAATGAAAATGGATGTAAGAATTTCTTAATATCCTTACTTTACTTACCTATTTTGTCTTTTTATTTACTCAAAAATATTATATGAATATACTCCGCAAACTGCTTTTGATGTGCCTTGGGATACGAAATATACAGCAGTAGATACCCTGTCTATTTTTATATAGTCGGCGATATTTGTTGACGCCTAAAAATGCGTCAGAAAGTTTGTCATTCATATTTTCTGCGAAAGATGACCCTATATGGTTAAATCATTATACTCGCGTTCTTATTTTTACCCGTGACCTACAATATTAACATAGTTACTAAATATAGAAATGATAGTATACTTCCCGCGAAAGCCTCGTCACTGCAAAAAAATAATCAAGGTAGATTCTATTACAGGAAGAATTTTAAATAATACCATTTTCACCAAATAAATATTCAATACTGAAAATAACAGAAATATATATAATAAATGTATACGTTCTATAAAGAAGTATTTAAGTATTATAATTAATATTTATAATATTGGCTGTCGCCATCTGAATGTAAAGCAGTGTAGCTACCTGTGGCTTAACGAGGCATAGGAATCTAAATATAGCCATATATACATTATTTGTTATGATAATCTATTTATAGCTTAAAAGCTCTTATTCATATATATAATTATGAGATTTACCATATATGGACAGGCAGATTCAAGTTATTAATTGTTGTGTATTATACACAAATACGACTGTAAAGACATAAACATGTTGTTTATCGTCACTATCTAGCAAACATAGAGATCTTTTTTAGTGTTATACACATCATATTTTAAAAAAAAATCATTGGTAGGCAAATATGTTATTGTTGTTATTTTTTTAATCAATTTAAAGAAATTTTCAATTACCTGCTATCAGATTTTCTAATATAATGCTGTAAAGTTCTGTCTGTCTATTTTGTACGCATAGACCATTGTAACCCTGGCCCTAACGTACACCGGCAGTGTGCAGGTTCTATCCGTGTGTATACATTAGTCACTGACCCCGACCACGGGACACTGAGGGATTACATCCATCAGTTCCCGCCATGCAATGTCAATTTATAGGTTTTGCTTTTGGCGCCAAAATAGCTGGAGTATGTGGGAATTGTAACCGTAAGGCGGTGCCTTTACCCTGCAATTCTCAGGAAAGGGGACCGAGGTAATGATTAGCTGGTTCATTGTCAAAGGAAAAAAGAACAATAAAATAGATAATAAGCAAGTGTTATGCGTAACATTTTTTGTTTAGTAACCAAAACCGTTGATCATCATCCCTATATAGCGGAGGTAATTAAATTGTGCAACAAAAACTTATCTTACATTTTGCCGCATTGTAACATTGCTCGGCATTGTACATTCATACTTTTACACTACAGATAATGTGGCTGTTTTGAACTTTAAGATAATATTAGAGACTTTCATAGTTTCCTAAACTTTAAAATAATAGAGACCTTCATAGTTGAAAAAATAGAGAAATTCACAGTTGCATTTATAGTATTATTCCATTTTATCACCACCAAAAAAATTTAATGTGGCCTTTGTTGATATTATTTTCGGTGAATAAATACATAATCTTTAACAAAGTTCGCATTTTTGAACAATGAATGCAAGTAAGTGTATTGCGTGCATGTTTTATTATGCATATCATATGCCATTTATAGAATATTTTGTACAATTTCTTTATTAACATCTTTTTTTGGTTTTTAAATGCCTTAAAATGTTATTCAACACATATAACACTTTGGTATGTAAGTAGATGTACTTATCCGTATATGGGTAACTTATTATCATATAAGGACGATCTTTTTATAGATTTAATGCTCGGGTAGTTATACTGCTCAACATAAAAAAGCCTATGTCGAAAATAAACATCAGAAATATACAAAGTTATTTTTATCACAATCTTAAATACTTTTATCATCTTAATTTACAGGATAGAATAATATTTGCATCAGAATTATATTCATTTAAAAAAATGTAACGTCGTTAAGAAAAAAATAATTATGACATTGTACCGTAGTCCAAGCAGTATACAATCATATCTTTTTTTAGCATATCTATTTTTAGTAACACGTTCAAATAATGATTAACCGTACTGTATATGGACTGGATACAAGTATGTCACAGACAAAAATAAAAGCATGAACAATAAAGATTACCATATAGGGAGAAAATTTGTAGAAAAGCTCCATGTAATTTTTGACTATGACACATTCGCAAATGGATGCTAACATATAAATATGCGCGTCTTTACGGTAATTTGAATTATTAACAAACTTTCAGCTGTAAACGTTATATATACGAATATATAATTCTTAATTTGAGGTAAGAAAATTTTTGTGTTCGATACTTTGAAATATTTTTATTATTATTGTTCTTATTGTATATGATTTCTAAAATTTATATCAAGTGTTTGCTTATATTTTGTCATAGATGATAATTTATACCTCGAGTTAGTGAAACGCTGTTTCTTTTTTTTTAATTTAGATTAATGAAATATATCAGTTTTGTGGAAAGTTTTGAATAAGATATTTTGCATACTCAGAAATTTTAATGACATATTATTTGTAACTCGTGAATACACTTTGTTTAAATCAACTTTGGTTATACTATTGGCTGAAATTTATATATAGTAGATCACTACATACAGTTTCGACATTTTCTACTAGCAACGAACTTTTGATTTTTATATAGCTATATATCTAATAATAATTAAAATATTACTGATAAGGAGCAGAAAAGTGTCTCTGATTTTTATTTATTACAGCTGTAATTTTTAAGTGTCATGAAATGGTCCCTCCCGGGTAATCACCATCATTTTATCGCACGTGCTATTCTTTGCGAGCATTAATTGATTAAAACGTGCAATTCTAATTTTCAGAAATAAACAATGACTCTTGGCTACGACGACGATATTGCCGGCATTGTGATTGACAATGGCTCCGGAATGTGTAAGGCCGGCTTTGCAGGTGACGACGCACCAAGAGCCGTGTTTCCTGCAATTACAGGTCATCCGAAGTATGATCCTTGCATGGTAGGAATGGGCGCAAAGGACACGTTCATTGGAGACGAAGCTCAAAACAGGAGAGGAATGCTCTCCCTACATTATCCAGTTGAACACGGTATTGTCACTAACTGGGACGATATGGAGAAAATTTGGCACCACACATTCTACAACGAACTTCGTGTGGCTCCTGAAGAACATCCGGTTTTACTTACAGAAGCGCCATTAAACCCGAAAGCTAATAGAGAGAAAATGACACAAATTATGTTCGAAACTTTCAATACGCCAGCTTTCTACGTGTCAATACAAGCAGTTCTATCATTATACGCCAGCGGGAGGACAACTGGTGTGGTGTTCGACGCCGGTGATGGGGTATCTCACGTGGTACCGATTTACGAAGGTTATGCTTTACCACATGCCATTGAACGCGTTGATCTTGCAGGTCGTGACCTTACAAAATACTTGTCAAGAATTGTAAATGAACGCGGATACAGTTTCACATCTTCATCCGAAATGGAAATAGTTCGCGATATCAAAGAGCAATTGTGTTATTCCGCCTTAGACTTTGAACAGGAAATGGATGTCGCAGCAAGTTCTTCTCAAATAGAGAAAAGCTACGAACTTCCGGATGAACAAGTAATTACTATTGGCAACGAACGTTTCCGCTGTGTTGAATCTCTTTTCCAACCATCTTTTATCGGAATGGAAAGTGCAGGAATACACGAACTAGTTTACAACAGTGTTATGAAATCTGATATAGACATAAGGAAAGATCTGTTATCAAATGTCGTACTCTCAGGAGGGTCAACAATGTTTCCTGGCCTTGCAGATAGGATGAAATGTGAATTAGACAATTTGGTTCCCAGCTCTATGAAGGTCAAGGTCATTGCACCACCAGAGAGAAAGTACTCAGTATGGATAGGTGGTTCTATTTTATCCTCTCTATCAAGTTTCAGTCAAATGTGGATCTCTAAACAAGAGTACGACGAATGTGGACCGGGTATTGTACACAGAAAATGTTTTTAAGAACTAACTGTTTAGACTAAACGTATAAATATTTTGTCTTTCATTTTTTGCAAGTATGTATAGATTCTTTTTTTATCAAACGCAAATGAAGATACATGTATATGCATAATTATTTTTTCACATAGTAGTTGACTTTCACATATTACACGTGATTGTATGATTGTATTATATAAGACTTTGAGAATGAAAAACGATTTCTCCGTAATTTGATCTGTGTATGAACATGAATGCGTGCGTGTGTGAGTGTGTGTGTTCATATTTCATTACATTTTTAAATAAAACATAAAAACAGATTTTTGTCCTGAAGTTATTACTTTTTTTAGTTAACACTGATGCCTGAAGACGGAAAACAAGATATTCTACAAAATAAAATGGATGAATTTGGACCCTTCTTAATTCGTTCAACACATATTTGCAAAACGGTACTGGTCTAAGAAAAACGAAAGTCCTTCTCTGCGTTGGACCGTTTTAATCAAAAATATGCCGCGCATATTCACCACCGTGATTTGTATTTATATACATTCTATATTTTATACCCGTTATAGATTTTACTACTTTCCATATACTAGTACAGAGCAACAGATAAGCTTTAAAAGTGAATTGGGTATTACTCCATCATTTCATTTGGAATTGGGTATTGGCTCCATTTAATTGGGTATTCCCAAACTCGATACCCTATGATTTCAAGATCAATTGGGTATTCAATTATGAAGATATGAATTTTATGGTTTCAATATCAATAAAATTAAAACTGTTTTATAAAGAAAATATAATAAACAATTTGCTAGAACTTTTCACAATTGTTTTATTTTTTTATATAAAATGCTCATGTTATATTTCATAATATTTTTAACATGTTCGTTTTCTGACCGACTACTGTTTTGTTTCAAATCATTTTCCCTTTTGTACGACGCCATATTGCCTTCAAAGCGTCTATTGATACAGCTGGGACCTACTTAATGACGGTCTCCGCAAAATCAACGGTCTCTGCCGGTCTGTTAAGACCGTCGACCTGAGTAGACAAATTGACGGTCTCATGCTTAATTGATATGGCTTAGTCGGTCTTTGGAGACCGGGACCGTCGAAGACCGGAGACCGTTGATTAGTTAGCATTGATTCGGGAATATTCGGATAGCATGCATATCGATATAATTTGTCCAAAACTACGAGCGAACGACAGATTAATTTTGCGGTGGTGAAAATGACAATACGCACGGGTTTTTAAGACAATTGCGTATTTTATTTTTTTCAATGGGTTTTGATACGCATTCTTAAAAAATCAATTGCGTATTTTATCAAATTAATTGCGTAAATACGCAAATACGCACCTTATCTGTTGCTCTGCTAGTATAACTTACTATATCTATATTTAGTATTATATTTGAATAAAGGATTAACTATTATGATATTGGCTTAAATGAAATGTCCCTGACGACGATGGAAGTATGAACATAAAAATTTACCATATGTAGTATAGATTTATAGAACAGTTCCACCAGATGTAACAATTTAAAAACAACAACAATTTTGGATCAATTTAAACAACGAGAGAATATTTGGTTTTAAGGAAAAGGTAATACATTTATTATTTTCGATCTAGATATATTTGAATTATTGTCAATTTTGACTGGGTGCACATTTTATATTTTGAGCCGATATTTTTATGTGTATTATTTTAAAAGTATAATGTATTATTGAAGTAATGACATAATTAATTATGGTATATATCAAAGGGAAATAATCGATCATTCTGTTACCTCCCTTGACGGGAAGTACACAGTCAGAGTATTACATTACCTGCAATTACTGCAAGTCCTTGTGCATTCTAAGTTTTGATTAATAAATTGAAAGCTTAAATTAACCAGTGATTAATAATCAGTATAATTATAATGACCATATTTGGCCGAGAGAAAATAAAAACAAACATACACACTCTGACTGGCAACGAATATGGCAATCTGATCTCCTCGGCTATTATGCTTCGCAAGACCCTGTGTTTTACGATTGGTGCTTTTGTCTTACTCATGACGTCATAAAAATTAGCTGTCCTTAATAAATAAGAAACATAAAGTTAGCTGGTCTACAAACGGCGAATTTTCCTAAAGAATCTCAAATAATGATAAAATAAAAAACAATGGAAATGTATCAGTATCGTCGGATATTCTTATTTAAAGAAATTGTTTGATTTTTTTCAAGTTCTAAAGAAATTGATTGATTTTTTTTAAGTTCTAATAGATTTAATAAGTAAAAGCATTTATATGACGAAGAATAGTATCTTGATCTAGAATATTTTATTATCTGCTTTATAAACATAATGTAATATCGGACCATGTATCTCCCACTTAAAGTCTTGCCAGCAACATCCATTATAATTATATTTTTTTCATAGTCTGTTGTTATGTTTTATACTACATACTATTAACGTTATTATTTTTGTATAACAGGCCAATTCACTTTAACTTTCATATTAGGAGGAAATAACACAAATGTAAACAAATATTTATTTGAAAATAAACAAGTTTATTTTGGGATATTATTTATAAATAACAATACAAATTATGTTAAAAACTTGAATCTGAAAGTACACAGACAAAAGTGAGAAAGTGCGAAAACTTAATCGTTATTCTAAGTGACAAAATGGCATCATTTTGTCAAAATTCATGACAGAGCTATGTCCTCTTGCCTAGAAAATAGGATGGTGTTAGAAAACCAACTATTCCAAGTTTCTAAGCAATATCTTTATGGACATAAAAAATGGGGTGGTACGAACAACTTTACCGAAATTCTAAGCCGAAAAGGTTATTCATTGTGTCAACATGTAAATCAAAAACAAAGAGCTATATCCTCTTGCCAAGAAGTGATAACAACTATTCATAGTTTCAAATCAATATATTTAAGGACATAGAAAAAGTTGGGTGGTGTACGAAAAAAACAAAATAACAAAAGTTTGACGCCTACGACGGACTCGGTTGCTTTGGGGTAGACTCAACTTCCGGTCAGATTAACCAATGTTGGTTTGGATTGATTTGGGACCGGGTTGGCATGTGCCAATTTGACTTGTTCAATCCAAAGCTATGGTTTCATATATGAATTTGTACATATAAAGAGTTCCGTTTATATTTCAGAAAAGAAATGTCGCAAGGCCACGATGTCGGCATTGGCATTGTAATTGACAATGGATCCGATATGTGCAAGGCCGGCTTTGCAGATGACGATGCACCAAGAGCTGTATTTCCGGCAATCGTAGGCCGTCCTAAGTATGATCCTTGTATGGTTGGATCGGAATTTAAAGATACGTATGTTGGCGATGAAGCTCAAATTAAAAATGAAATTTTGTCATTGAAATCACCAGCTGAACATGGAATTGTCACTAACTGGGACGATATGGAGAAAATTTGGCACCACACATTTTACAATGAACTTCGTGTGGCTCCTGAAGATCATCCGGTATTACTTACAGAAGCGCCATTAAACCCGAAAGCTAATAGAGAGAAAATGACACAAATTATGTTCGAAACCTTCAAATTACCCGCATTCTACTTGTCTGTCCAGGCTGTTTTATCATTGTACGATGCCGGCAGAACCACAGGTGTGGTGTTCGACTCCGGTAATAAAGTATCTCACGTGGTACCGATTTATGAAGGATATGCTTTACCGCACGCTGTTGAACAGATTAATCTGGCAGGAAAAGCACTGACAAAGAATTTGTCAAAACTTCTGATTGAACGCGGATATAGTTTTAATTTTGCCTCTGAATTGAAAATAGTTCGCGATATCAAAGAAAAATTGTGTTATTCCGCTTTAGACTTTGAACAGGAAATGAATGCAAGTTCTTCTCAGATAGAAAAAAGCTACGAACTTCCGGATGGACAAGTTATTACTATTGGCAACGAACGTTTCCGCTGTGTTGAATCACTTTTCAAACCATCTTTTATCGGAATGGAAAGTGCAGGAATACACGCACTAGTTTACAATAGTATCATGAAATGCGATACAGACATAAAGATAAGACTTTTATTAAATGTCGTACTATCTGGAGGGTCAACAATGTTTCCCGGCCTTGCAGATAGAATGAAATGTGAATTAGACAATTTGGTTCCTAGCTCTATGAAGTTCAAGGTCATTGCACCACAAGACAGGAAGTACTCAGTATGGATGGGTGGTTCTATTCTCGCTTCTCTACCTACGTTCAGTCAAATGTGGATCTCTAAACAAGAGTACGACGAATGTGGACCAAGCATTGTACATAGGAAATGTTTTTAAAACTGTTGAGATCATATGTACACTTGACTTTGAATTTTTATTTTGTCAGTATCAAATTCTTGTGAATTTGATGATTAGCACGGTTTCCTCGAACAAAAAAAAGCTGCAACATCATTTCAATTTTGCTTTGCTATCAACATGTTCATTATTGAAGGGTTCATTTTGCTTTGTGGTGTTTTTAATATAGATAACAAAAACACGAGAGCTTACTAAAAGGAAAATATAGGCCTAGCGTACATTTTAATAACCATGGTTGCAGTCTATATATGTTCATCACTTCAACATATGTGTTTGTATTTTATTACATTTTAAAAGAGAAATATGAAAAAGAGTCCTAAAATAGCGGGATTTTGCAAAAATAGCACATGTTTTTATTAGGTTTAACTGAATATTTGCTGACATAACTTTGTTCACAAAAAATACATTCGTAACATTCACATTTATTTTAGAGGACGCAAAAGAACATAATATACAAAATATATTTCACAACACACATACCCCATCTTTATCACTTTCCAATAATAATACCACCCTGCAATAAACAATACAAAATTTAATATTATTTTTTTCCGTTCAGGTTTTCTAATACTTTCGTTCCTCAAAAACTGTTTATTTCTCAGACAACAGAAATAATGCTACCATCAGAAGCAGCATAGATATCAAATTTTGTGCATTTTTCAACAATATCACCAATACATAATCCTTAGAAAATTTTATTATAAAAAGCGAAAAAAAAAACAACAAAAGAAGCAAAGTATGATTAAATTATATGGCCAATGAGGACAATACTGGCATATGTAACAGAACAACAAGTATAGAAAGCGTCTGGGTAATAAAAATAATAGGATGTTGGAAACTTATAAACATTTGTTTAAGGAGTCTTACGAATTTACACGGCGGCGGAAGTTCTAGGGCATCTGGCACGCTCAGCCGATATTGTGTAATATTCAAATATGTTGTGCTCTCCATGACCGGATATCCTAGGAAAATAAACAAAATGACACATAGATTTAGTTGTCTTTTATCATTTTTAAATTTCACATTGTATGATTTTAAATCAGAAAAAATGCCTTACACTAAATGTGATCTAAGGTAGACCCATCCCACAAGAATTCGGCAACATTCGTTCGGTGGCGGTTATTTACGGGTTCCAACGGAAAACTAAGATAATTTTATTAGATAACTGATTTATTTAAATTTGAAATAAAATGGTTTGTATTTATATATTATTTACTTACAACACAATAATTTAATCATTTTAAGCGTCTAGAATTAAAAATAAATAGTGAAATAAAACTGAAATGTAAACTTCCGGTAACCGTAAGTCCTTTAGAGTCATGAGTTTTCGCGATAAGAACGTTCGCATAAAAGAAAATCTGAAGCAAATGATATTGTTATCAATCATGATTATCATTATTACAAAATAAATGGCCAAACGTCGGACACAGCTAAAGAAACTAACTAGATTTTTTCTTTAATCATTTGTTGTAAATTTCCAAATAGATCTAGCGAGTATTGCTACCTACCATGTAAGTCCGAGCCATATCGTGTGAGAGATATAGGAGTGCAGTCACGTGACGATGTTTGCATTCTCCAGTGCATATTATCGGCATACCCTGACCAAACGTTAGCTTGTATAGACGTATTGCCAGAGCCAACTGTAATTGTTCCCTCGTGTCTCAGTTCGCCTGCGGGAAGTAATCAAATATTCGTTTTTATAACATTAAATTGCTTTACACAACAAGCTACACGAAATAAGTGACAGGGTGACTAAATAATCTTTAATTGGTATCGTTCGTAAAATATAACAGCGCTAACTAAGCACAGTAAGGTTATAAAAATAGCAACAAAATGACAAAGTTCCTAAAAAAATCAACAAAGTTTAGAAATCACTAGCTTTAGGTTTTTAGTAATGGCTAATAAACAACATCATTTTCGTTACTATGACATTTCTTTCGAAATGTTAAAACAGTAAAAGATAAGTTTATAAACATTTCATGTTGCAAAACTGAGTGTCAATTTTTTACTTTCCTTTGTCATTTCTCTATTACTTTTTTTGGTTTTATGTTTGATTTTGTTATTTTAATTGTTCTTGTTGTTGATAATAATGTTTGATGATGTTTTTTGTTCTTTCTGTTGTTGTTGATGATGATGATGAGGAGGAGGAGGAGGAGGAGGATTTTTATTATTATTATTATTATTATTATTATTATTATTATTATTATTATTATCGACATTATCATCACTCATGAGGATAATAAGACAAAATATGTTGAACATACTTGGTACACAATTCACAGCTTGGGAATCCTTGTCAATGATTGTCACCACACATGTAGTCGAGTTTTTCCCATAAAGTCCATACCGTCTACCCTGTATCAACACAAAACTTCTCGTCAATTATATTATAGACAATAGAAGGATATTAATACAAATACTTGTGAGCTAAAGAAGAAATGAGCAGCGCTGTGATGTCAAAGTGTATGTTTTAGTGTATTTACAACCAAATATTTTAGTATGATCCTATTGTATGTGATTTGAAACCATGGAATTGGTTTGGTCATTACATTGGATTGTAAACAGCTATATCGGCTTGTTCTCTGTATATTTATTGGATTGCAAACATTGATACTGGTTTATTCTTTATATTGTATTGTAGAGGGTGAATTTAAGATGTTTGATAACAATGTTTAAACATGAATTTATAAATTAAAGTGATTAAGTTTTCCGGCCAAATGTACAGTGTCATTGGTAAATAATTTGACTCTAATTTTTCACCATTTCGAAGCAGGGAAATTAGCATTAGTAGAATTTGTTTGTGTATCTCATTTCCAACGATTATTTGTCTGTGTACCTCATTGCAAAGAGAATTTGTTTGAATGTGTTTGTTTTGTGTACCTCACTGACATGAGAATTTATTTGATTTTAGTACCTTATTGCCAATAGTATTCGTTTTGAATACCTCATTGCCAAGAGTATTCGTTTTGAGTACCTCATTGCCAAGATAATTCGTTTTGATTACCTCATTGCCAAGAGAATTCGTTTTGAGTATCTCATTGCCAAGACAATTTGTTTTGAGTACCTCATTGCCAAAATAATTTCCTTTTATGTACCGCATTGCAAAGGGAATTTATTGTGTGTGTACCTCTTTGCCGAGAGAAACGTTTTAGTAAATAGCTCATTGCAAAAAGATTTTTTTACTGTACCCACTTTGCCAAGAGCACATGTATTTGTTTGTGGACTTCATTGGATTAACTTAAAAAAACGCATGTTGCAAGATACTTTAGATAATGATAAATAGTAACATCAAGTATGATAAGAACAAGAATATATTGTTGCACGAGCGTTTATTTAATCAAAAGAAGAAAAATGAGAAGATATTTTGTCAACACTTACAGTTTTATAATCATTGTAGACCGTATAGTACTGTGTGGTCTTGTCCGTATCATCATACATATAACCTACAAGTCGTTCTATATGTGCATCTCTGCTGTAATCCATCTGAAATGTATTCTGTAAACCACATATAAATGTATGTTTAAATGTATTCTGTATACGTTATATATTTCTACAAATTTGTTTTACGACAGAGGATAATTCCTGTTAGACCTGGTCATCTTTTAAGATTACCTAAAATTTGTCACTACCAGTTGTAATGATTAGACGTCGTAATGTTAATAAAACTAAAGTTGAACTTTTATAAGTACATGTACTCTTTCAATCACTTAAATCTGTGACCAGAATATAAAAAGGAAACAGAAAAGAACTAGCGAAGGTGTACTTGCTTCACCAGTTACAAACGTGGAGTTTTCTGAAAAACAATGCCTCTTACCTCTATTGCTGACGGATGTCCATTTTTAACTGAGCCAGTTACCACTTTTAACTGGCCAAAAAACTTTTTGCTTGCACAACATGGCTTCTCAAGACCGCTGATCACGGTTATCAAGGCGCTTATTACAATAAGATAATTACGCATAAACATTGTTCTCTTTCCTTATCGTTGTCCTACACTAAGCTTATTATTGTAAGCATTTTAAATACATGTACATGACCCCATTATTGTAGATCATTTCAAAATTGTTAAATGTCAATGTTCGCCTTTGGGAATGGCTGTTTAAAAAATATCCGTTAGTTTTAATATTAAATTTTGTTGAATTCGATGTAAAACTTTATTTTGTTGCAGAAAAGTATTTTGAAACATACTTGCAGTGAGACAATGAATTTTATTGAATAAAATTGCCTATAGACACTCGGGGGGCAAAAACCTACCCCCCCCCCCCCCCTTTGCTCAGACCTTGCTTACTGTAAAAACGTTTAAAATTAAGACATGATCCGGCATCTACATGAATCATAAAATGTTTTAATGCAATTTCTACCTGAGTTTATAAATCCAATTTACTAGTAGTAAAAGGGATTTTTATTAATTTGGAAATTGAATCAAAAACCAAGTTTTTGATTGAAACAGATGTCCTACTCGTGTTTGGCGATGCAAGGTTAGGTCAACCAAATTAGATACATAAAATCCAAATAAAAAGAGTTTTTATCATTATGGCGTTAAGAGATAAATCATGTGACCATATATTTCTTATTATTTAAAGTTTCTTGGTGTTTTCTTTTTCTTCTATTATACTACTATATTTTATACATTATGACTGAGTTTGCAATGGCCAAACATCAGAATCGACCCTCATAATTTTTGCCCAATATTCCTATGAAAGTTCATTGTCATAGAATTTGACACAAATATATAAACCTTATCTTGATGGATGCCAAAATGTCGATATTTAATACAAAACAAAGGTAGACGTTAAGTAAGTTATATTTCTGCTCATAATTGCTTCGAGCCAACAGTACCTGTTTGTCTCAAAATGGCATCAATTTTTGAATTTCTAGCTATCCTCACGGTCGGTGGCATCTTAGTTAACGCGACTCAGACACCGTGCTGCTTCAGTAAACGATTTATTGCAAATATGACGATTGTGACGGGCATCCCGATACCAAAGGACGGCAGCAATCCCGTCGTTACAGAGGTAGGCTTTGTTTCGCTTTTCATGTTTTTGTTTCTGTTTGAAAACGACCGCCATACCGTATTTGATTTCTATCTAACGAACAATCATATAGCATAAGTAGATGCTTTTAAATAATTGGGTGTTCATTTATATAAAATGGTAATTTAACCGTCAACCCAAAAGTAAATAGCTCATAATTTATTCAAAATTGTTTACCAATTTGATTTACCTGTGCCAATGCAACGTGATTTATTCGATTCATTGGTTGCTTCTTTAAAATCTTGTGGCATCATGACCTAACGTAGAACTTATTTCTAAATTTTGAAGTTAAGTGCTCTGCAAATTTAGGCGCGAATTAGCTGGATTCTCATTTCATTTAAAGAAAACAACCAATTTTACCCATGTCAAATGAAAAAAAAAAACTAATTTATACATTTTTCTCTACTATACATGTAGAACAGAGTTCATGTATTGTATGACAAGGATATGAGGCGAGAAAGGGCCAACGGTTACATTCTTGTGGGTACAGGATCAAATCAGACGAAATACACGTATGATGCATTGAACGACTACAACAGTGTAAGTTGCTTCCCTTTGGTTTCTTGTAATCACCATCTCTAGAGCAGAGTTAGGAAAACATCGCATTATTGTGGTCAAAAAAACGCAGGATTTAAAAAAAAGTTACGCCGAATTTTGCAATTCTTTGGAGAAGACGAGAAAACGCGAAAGTACATTTCTGCAAATTTTGATACCAAATTTTATTTGCCAATATTTCGCTTAATTAAGGTGATTCTGCATTGTCAGCCATGTTTGTATCTACTAAGTGGGTCCAAAGCGAAATAGGCCAAACTTCATATAACGATAAAGCTCACAATATAAAATGATGAACAATTTGCATTTACATGTCAATGTCTATGTTTTAAGGACTTTTATAAACAAAAATAAAAACGATAACGATAAGAATATTTACCTTGAATGTGCTAAATTTCTGAAGACCAAATAAAAGTTTTATACACATTTCATGAATGGCAAAATCTAGTTTAAAGTCTGTTGTAGTGCAAAGGAATACTAATTTTGCAATAAACAAATAAAAAAAAATTCAAAAACTAAAATATAAGGAAAGTAGTTTAACTGACCTTGATGCAAACATGGCGTAAAAAAGTAGTACCAGAGAAATAAACATCTTTTATCTATTTCTTGTATACATGACAGACAGACACACTTTGCTGTTGCTCAATAGAAAGGTTATTTTTTTAAATTTGAATGCTGATTTCATTTTAATTGTAGTTCATAAGGCTATAAACAGTGATTGCCTTCTTGCACTACTTTTTACCAAACAATAATGGAGGACATGTGCTTAGAAGGACACGAGTTACTGCTTTATTTGGAATTTAGTTTTGCAAGTTTTTTTGTTTGTTTGTTTTTTTTTTGGCGGGGGGGGGGTTGGGAGGAGGTTGTTGTTGTTTTTTTGTTGTTTTTTTTTTTGGGGGGGGGGATTCCAAAATAGCATACCTTTTCACTACTTCTATACAATTATTTAACTACATAGTACAAATATATAGGAGAAGACCATTATCAGTTTTAAAGCGTTCGGCTTCAATCCTTTTTCATGTATCTATTATTATAAATGTATTATTAACATGCTGTATGTTCATTGTATCAAATAAACTATATTTAAACTTAGTATATGGCTTGTGATATATTTCAGGGGAAAAGATACGTATTTACAGATAATGGAGCAAATTGTAGTATAACCCCGATGGGAGTTTCTCAGTTCGACCATTGTGTACCAGGTAAGAATATCAAAATGTTATTACAATCATAAACCATTGAACAAAAAGAGAAACAAAACAAAATAATTAATTTTATGTATTAGTTAAGAATCACATTTGCTCATGAATAGTTTTAGTGTTATATCTTGCAATGCCAGAAAAGCAAACAAAGTCGACCTCAAGATAATGCTGAGAAAATGGCAAAAAAACAAGCGTGAGAAAGAGCGGTAGCTCAGTTCGATTTTATAAGTTTATACAATAATTGCAGTACAATTATAGATCTATTTATATAAACAAAAGTGTTTAAGTATTATATTTGTTTGTAAAAGAAAATAGTTACATGTTTATCAATCTTAAAATTAAATTATCTTAAGCTACATTAAAGCTGGCATCAACTGACGTCATTGGATCTGAAAATGACGTTGTACCTGTAAATTCCTGGCAGGGAATGTCCGGGAACTACATGTATACTTACGTAACCGCTGTAGACGGCTGCACACCGATTTCACTCACTCGCTATGGTACAAATGAAGAAGGTAGGTATATTACGACATTTGCATGTAATCATAAAAATTAAAATGGTGAAAGATAAACGAAACTATGACTTTGCTACATTTTATCCGTGTATGTTTGATATGATGAAAAATTTGAAGTTTGAAAATTACTTTCGTTACATTACTGGATTAAAGGAACATTAGGTGTTGTATCTAGTTTCATCTTTTGCGAGTTACTAGTATATAAAGTAGTGTTTTTTACTCATTCTAGACATATGGAAATAAAGACTACTGTGTTATCACTTTAACACAACGTGCTTTTTTCGTACCCACCTTACCACTTAAATCGTTTAACGTAATGAAGAACCTAGTTTAGCGTTTAATTCATCCCCACACCTTTATATAAGTAAACATTTTTTTTTAGTTTTTTCTATCTTTATCACAAATCATCCCATTTCGTAATAAATCGCCTAACGTAATAAAGAACCTAGTTTAGCGTTTAATTCGTCCCCTCACATTTATATAAGTAAACAAATTTCTTAAAAAGTTTTTCTACAAAAATATATATCTTTAATACAAATCATCCTCTTTCAAAATATGCATTCTTATACATGGGGACTATACGCCGCTTTTCATGTAATGATGCAAACGTGTCACATTCAAGTCTTCATTATAACCGACGTATTAACACATCTGCGGATGTTTCAAAATTAACAAGTTCACCATTTTGAAATTCTGGTTAAGTCGGTGCTAGGGGGCGTGGACTATAGCTTGTTTAATTTTACCATGTTGCATGTTTAATTTTACCATTTTGGATGTTTAGTGATATCGTCTTTCATTATTTTAGTTTTTTTTCTGTTAATTATACTTTTTTAACACTTCTTATTTTTCATAGCAATAAGCATCAATTTGTTATAGTGTTTCTTCAAATATTATGTTTGATATTACAGGCTCATCAGTAATGGAGTTTATGCAATTCAGCGAGTTTATTCCATTATCACAAATGGACAGAAGTCATGATTTTGAAATTCCACAAGGATGTTAAAGTGGTTAGTTTTTTTACCGATAATTATAGTACAACGTGACAACTTTTTACAATTGAAGCGATATTTTGATGTTTTACGTATTAACGATTGTCCAAATTACATAAAACGCTGTTATAGGCTACTTCTATCTAATTTCAATATTTAAACAAAAACTGCTTTCCTTGTACATCGCATATTATATGAAAAAATCCATTTATGTCAATATTCCATATATTATTACCTGTATATATACATGTGTATATGAAAACTCATATCAAATATTAATATTGCCTACATCTTATTCTTATATATATACATATATTATATCAATATAGAAAAAATAGTTTGTCATATTATCATATACTTATAAATGAAATATTGATCAATATTGATGAAATAAAATGCGTATTTTCATTTTCCTTATTTTAACTGTAAAATATATTATTCACTGAAGTGAAACAAAATGTGTATTTTCTTTTTCCTTATTTTTACTGTAAAAACTATCAACTGCAGTGAAATATATAATTTATATATTCACTGATGCTTTATTTGATTACATTCTTCGTAAGTGTAAGGTCAAAAAAGAGAAAAAGTATATAAAACAGAAAATTTATTTATTTTTCTATAAATATAGGATTTATTTTTCTCTAGTGATAAGAATATTGTCATATTTCACTCGTGCCTCTTGCAACATATTTATTTTCATACCACTCGATGAAAATAAATCCTGTATTTATCTACGATATATTATGTATTACCATTAGCACCATAATAAATCTAACCTTTTATTTACAGGACGGTAGCACTTCAGAAGGTTAGGGAGAACAAAAGCCAGTCTAAATTAATAAAAAAATGGCAAAACTCTGTAAAATAAAGTATAATCAAAGTGCTGAAAGCACTGATGGGGGCGCAATATGTTGCATACAAAAAATCGAGATTTGTATAGCAATCTACTTTAGGTGTTCCAATCTGATATCATTCTTCTTTCAAAGTTGAATAAGTGCCCATTTTGTACACAATATAATAGTATCGCCTCCAAACTCTTGTCAAAATTGAAAATCATGTACCAAGAACATACTAACAAACCCAGGCAAAATGCATAATTGATATCATATATATATATCATGAATAAACATTTTAAACTAGAACTATCACTAAATGTGATTAATACCCCCACAAGACTGCTTCGGAAATGAGGATGTTACTAGTAACAGAATACCTTGTAAAAGAATAGAAATATAGAGTTATGGTTGTTGGCAATTAAAGACAGTTGTGGTTCTTGTATGTTGCATTTCCTTTCAATGTGGTTGGCCATTGAAGAAGTTTAATTGAATTACTCTGTAATAAGTCCAGAAAGACAAAGAAAAGGAACAAAGTGGCAAAATCTCTATAAAAACTGAAGATAGAGTTATAGTTCTTGTGCACTGCACTTCCTCTTATTGTGCTTGAAACATTGTATGAAGTTGTTTTGAATTCCAACAGTACGTTTTTAAGTTATGCTCAGGACAAGGAAAAGTATCGAAGGGCAGTAACTCTGTATTTTGTCAAAATGGAGTTATGGCTCTTGTGCACTGTACTTCCTTTTAATGTCCTTGACGACTGTATGAAGTTGTACTGAATTCCAAACAGTAGTTTTCAAGTTATGCTCTGGACAAGGAAAAGTAACAAAGGGCAATTAACTCTGTAATTAGTCAAGATGGAGTTATGGTTCTTGTGCACTGCACTTCCTCTCAATGTGCTTGACCATTGTATGAAATTATATTGAATTCCAACCATTAGTCTTCAAGTTTTGCTCTGGACAAAAAGCAATTGAAAAGTAACAAAAGGGCAATAACTCTGTAATTAGTCAAGATGGAGTTATGGTTCTTGTGCACTGCACTTCCCCTTATTGTGCTTGACCATTGTATGAAGTTGTTTGAATTCCAACCAGTAGTTTTCAAGTCATGCTCTGGACAAGGAAAATTAACAAAGGGCAGTAACTCTGTAATAAGTCAAGATGGAGTTATGGTTCTTGTGCACTGCACTTCCTCTCAATGTGCTTGACCATTGTATGAAGTTATATTGAATTCCAACCATTAGTCTTCAAGTTATGCTCCGGACAAAAAAGCAATGGAAAAGTAACAAAGGGCAATAACTCTGTAATTAGTCAAGATGGAGTTATGGTTCTTGTGCACTGCACTTCCCTTATTGTGTTTGACAATTGAATGAAGTTGTTTTGAATTCCAACCAGTACTTTTCAAGTTATGCCCCGGACAAGGAAAAGTAACAAAGGGCAATAACTCTGTAATTAATCAAGATGGAGTTATGGTTCTTGTGCACTGCACTTCCTCTCAATGTGCTTGACCATTGTATGTAGTTATATTGAATTCCAACTATCAGTCTTCAAGTTATGGTCCGGACAAAAAAAAAAGCAATGAAAAAGTAACAAAGGGCAATAACTCTGTAATTACTTTAATAGAGTTATGGTTCTTGTGCACTGCACTTCCCCTTATTGTGTTTGACAATTTGTGTGAAATTGTTTTGAATTCCAACCAGTAGTTTTCAAGTTATGCCCGGACAAGGAAAAGTAACAAAGGGCAATAACTCTGTAATTAGTCAAGATAGAGTTATGTTTCTTGTGCACTGCACTTCCTCTCATGTGCTTGACCATTGTATGTAGTTATATTGAATTCCAACCATTAGTCTTCAAGTTATGCTCCGGACAAGGTAAATGCAACGGGACAAAAAAAAAAGCAATGGAAAAGCAACAAAGGGGCAATAACTCTGTAATTACTTTAGATAGAGTTATGGTGCTTGTGCACTGCACTTCCCTTATTGTGTTTGACAATTGTGTGAAGTTGTTTTGAATTCCAACCAGTAGTTTTCAAGTTATGCCCCGGACAAGGAAAAGTAACAAAGGGCAATAACTCTGTAATTAATCAAGATAGAGTTATGGTTCTTGTGCACTGCACTTCCTCTCAATGTGCTTGACCATTGTATGTAGTTATATTGAATTCCAAGCATTAGTCTTAAAGTTATGCTCCGGACAAGGAAAATGCAACGGACGTCTGGACCGACCGACCGACCGACCACCGGGTGACTCCTATATACCCCCCCAAACTTCGTTTTTGGGGGTATAATTATGACATTGGATTTTGTTGGGAAACTATAGTTGTTTAACCAATTTTCATGTAAAGTACTTCCTTATGTGAGTGTATAACACATAAATCAGTGTACTTACTATATTTATTCCAAGAAATGATTATGCAGATAGAAAATAAACAGAAAATTTAACTGTCTTTAAAATATTTCTAAAATAAAACCAGGACTGTAAGAACAAACTTGTTTTTGTAGAAACCTTTCAAGCACAATAGATAATACATGTGAGAATGTAAATTGGAATGGATACATATAATAAAGTTGGCATTGAAAACAAGAGCCACTATCTAGCCTGGGGCCATGCTCGGCTTTTTCTTATATTGGAAGTCAAACACATCAGTAGGAGAATATTGTAATATCTATTAGAGTACTCCTAGAAAACATAATATAAATGTATAAAGCTAAATTTCAAATTTGAATAGTAAAGGTCATAGTTGAATGATAATTGTTCTTTTGTCCAAGAATGAATCAAATCATAGACAAAACAAAGTTATGACAATGTGATCGAATTTCAATTGTTTAACCTTGGAGGTAATGGTCATTTAAATGTCAAAGTTATATCAGAAGAAAATTCAACATGTTGGTTTTGTGTTTGTTTGTCCAAGCATGAATCAAATCTGTAAATAATAACAAAGAAATGACAATTCCAGCTAACTCCAGATATTTTATATCAAACAAAGCAATTATCATAGTATTGCAAGCAATCCATAAGTCCCTACTGGTTAGACCCCAGCAACTTTCTGATGGGCCATTGGCCAGTCAATTTTTCCAGTGAATGAATGACATGAATGAACTTAAATCTTTTGAGTTCTAAGTTTGTCTATATCACAGTAATGTGTTAAGTTTCCCTGCCTAGTAAGGAAATTATGTTTATACAACCTTGTCATATTATTACGATGTGGGATTTGAAAGTAAAATCCTTATAATGAATGAAGAAGTTGGAGTGAAAAATACCAATTTCTCGAAAAAAATCTAAGTTCAAGGGGGACATAATTCTGGAAATAGTCTTGCTTAGAGTATTTAACCTTCTCAAAATGTTGAGTGAGAATAAGAAACATATATATGAAGTTTGAAGTAGATACATTAGGAAATAAAGAAGTTATTTAAACAAGAGGTCCAATGATGGCCCTGAGGTCGCTCACCTGTATATAGGCCCCCAACGTTGCAGGGCCAATTTAACCATAAGAAGATGTTTCATGCTAAACATCTAAGCTCTAGCTCATTGGGCTTTTTGAAAGAAGATTTTTTTTTTTAAGTTTTTACTATAACACATTATAGTTAAAAAACAATGACACCCCTGGGGCCGGGCCAGTTTTGACCCCAGGGCTTTTATTTGTAACAAACTCGGTAGACACTTACTAGAAGATGTTTCATGCTTAATATCTAAACTCTAGCTATTTGGGTTTTTTCAAAGAAGATTTTTAAGTTTTTGCTATACATATAAAGAAAATCAATGACCCCTGGGGCGGGGGCCATTTTGACCCCAGGTCTTTTATTTGAACAAAACTTTGTAGACTGTGACTCACTAAAAAGATGTTTCATGCTTAATATCTTAACTCTAGCTATTTGGGTTTTTTTCAAAGAAGATTTTTTAAGTTTTTGCTATACACATATAAGGAAAATCAATGACCCCCAGGCGGGTGCCAATTTTGACCCCAGGGCTTTTATTTGAACAAACTTTGTAGACACCTATTAGAACATGTTTGATGCTAAATATCTTAGCCATAGCTCTTTGAGTTCTTTAAAAGAAGATTTTTTAAGTTTTTAATATATGCATATAGGGAAAATCAATGATCCCCGGGGGCGGGGCCAATTTTGACCCCAGGGTTTTATTTGAACAAAACTTGGTAGACACTTA